CAATCAGAGAGGTCCCGCCCCTGACTATCTCTGATTGGTTTAGTCCATGATAGGGGCATAATGTGTGTCTGTTGTTGACCACACGGAGAGTTGCAGAGATTTTTCTTGTTTTGTTACCCGAACAGTTGTATTTTTAGTCGCACCACTGAAAAATTTGGTCGCATTTGCGACCAAATTGGTCGCACTCTAGAGCCCTGCATAGTGGTCCTAGCTAACTAGCTCTCCAGCATAAATACACTGATAGCATGGATATTTGACACACATTCAGTCCAGCACTGTGTTCTCACTCAGTTTGTCCCAATTTGGGTGGTAAAAGAGGACTGTTAGTTCACCACAGCACTGTAACTCACGTACATCAGTATGTTACACTTTAAATCACACTAAACCAGTCTTCCTCAGCACCTTCATGCTGATTTACCCGTGTTTGTTATGCTGAAAGGAAACTATACTAAAAAGTTCCTGGTGGAGCTCCTGTTGTCTAATTAGGAGCCCCAACATTGTCAGGCATTCATATAAGCAAGTCCTTACAAACTACTGAGCACCATTCTGAGTTGCTGCAATTTTAGCAAAATGGACCAGCCTGCTGCATCATTCTTCACTTTGACTTTCAGGGTGACTTTGAATTTAGCCTCTGTAATTTGATCATTTTCATTTCCATTGACATGTGTGGCATCCTTTTGTTCCTCACACATTACCCAGTTTGTATCAATACCGATATCCACATGACTTTTTTCCCACTAATATGTGATGAATTTTCAAAGCGTTACTTTAATTTTTTTAAACAGTGTATTTCATAAAGTTGCCTGTCAATTAAAAACATGATCTGTGGGGTCGTATTTAGATGCATGTGGGGTTATGGGGACCAATATAACTAAGTGTTGGATTGTGCTGCTGACCTTTGACCTGCAGCTGAACATGTGTCAGTCTGGGTTCTTCTCCCGACTCTCTGATGGTGCAGGTGTAGTTGCTGCTGTCAAAGATGTGGGGTTTCCTCAGAGTGAGGCTGAAGTCTCCAGTCTGCAGAGCGTCAGTCTTCATGGATGTTCGGTCTCTGTAACGCTGGTTTTGATCTGTCAGCTCGTCCTCTTCCTGCTGACGCTGGTGGACGGTTGGAGGATTGAGGTCGTAGCGGTTCCACACCACTGTGGCGGGTCCAGATGCAAACGGGATGTGACAGGGCAGCAGGACTGACTCCGCCCCCTCGTACACCTCCACAGTGAAGACTTGGTGGGACACTGTGAGGACACAGAGACACAAACATGAATCGGCTGTTTGTGTGAACTGTAGGTCTTATGATCACCTGAGATAGCCTAATGAAAAATACTTGATCAATAAGACAACAGTGAAGGAAAATGTGGAGAACTGAGAGAACTCTGGAACCTGCAGATACCCTGACACCTACCCAGGCAGCAATTGTCTCAAGGATTAAAGCAGCTGTGAAAATTCTTGTTTCTAAAATTTAATCTCTGATCTCTGACCATAAGTGCAGCAGATTTTAGGGTATGTTGCTGACCTTTGACACGCAGCTCTACTGTTGTCAGTGTCCGTTCATTTCCAAATGCTGTGATGGTGCAGGTGTAGGTGCCACTGTCAGAAGGGCGGGGTTTCTTCAGAGTGAGGCTGAAGTCTCCGGTCCTCAGAGAGTCCGTCTTCATAGATGTTCTTCTCCTGTAACGCTGGTTTTGGTTTCTCAGTTCATCTCCTGCCAGGTTACGCTGGTGGACGACTGGAGGACTGAAGTCGTGGCGGCTCCACACCAGAGTGGGACGTGCAGGTACAGAAGAGTCCTGACAGGTCAGCAGGACAGACTCCACCCCCTCATACACCTCCAGAGCCGAGGCATGCTGAGAAACTGAGGACACAGAGACAGAAACATGAATCAGCTGTGTGTGAGTCTAAACCTGAACTCTGCATCAGTTCACTGCACCAGGATATAATGGTGCTGCAAATGTCAAATGATCAAAATGTGATATCTACCTCTGGCTTATAAAGTTCCACAGATTTAGACGCATCTTTGAATCTATGAATGAGGCATGTTTTATAAAGCACTTTGAATGCTCAAACAGAAAAGCACTACATAAATGACAGTCCATTTGCCATAGTGGCACTTGTTTGAATGTATGAATACTGTGCGTTCATTGTGGACCCGTGGATTTTTTAATTTATTTGTTCCTGACTGTAATGTTCATGTTTTCACTTTGTGATACAGAAAATATAATTTTGAATGTTTTCTCTGCTAGATTTTAATGTGCTGTGAAGTTAAATTCTCTTTACTCTGCTGGAGCTGCAGCTATAATAACACCCACCAAGAATACTAATCCAAACAATATTTCTTATAACAAACTAAAGTTGTTTCCATGTCTCCTTCATTGGCTACACCTCAATATATATGTTGACACACTGAAAGCCTCAATGCAGAATGCCCAGAGTCATGTTACTGTTATCTCTGACTTTGGTTTTAGGTTTTGTTGACCCAACTAACACAAAGAAAGCTGTGTTGAACTTTATCTGTAGTGCAGCCCCCAGACTCTGTCTGTGAATTGCTGCAGCAGTTTTTAAGTGCAAAGAAACAGGCATAGTCAAGTCCTCCTTCTGAGGAGTTTTTCCAGTCACTAAACCACCTCAGCTGCTTCCTTTAAATGTGGAGAATTTGCAGCTCTAATGTGAGCCCCTCAGGAACAACAATGCTCCTGCCTCCTGCCTCCGAGGAGGAGCCCAGCCACCCTTCAGAGGAAGCTCTTTTCTGCTGTATGTGAAGCAGATGACAAGTTGCATGAACTGCTTTGGAATTGAATAGTGGCTGAATGGGAGTGGGAGTGGGAGTGCATGGTTCTCAGTGTTGAACCAGGGCAAGGCATATCACCAGGGTTTCATGGAGGAAATTAGCAGACCCCTCAAAGCCTTTATCACACTTTTGGGCTTATATGAGTGGGTAAGGATTCCCTTTGGTTTGTCCTCGGTGCCTTGCAGGTTTGAGGGATGAAATATCTCAACCATATCTGGATGGCAATCTTGTCCACAGCAGATCATTTGAGGACCATCTGCCTGATCTGAGGGAGGTCCTGCGCCGCTATCAAGCACATGGGGTGAAGCTGACCACAATAAAGTGTAAAGTGTTCAAGGACAAGGTGAAATTCCTGGGAAAGATTGTATCCAAAGATGGCTACTGCATGGACCCCGCTGAATTAGCACCAGTGCAAGCACTAAAAACCCACAAACCTGAGACTGTGGGAGACCTAAGGAAAATGCTAGGTTTCCTGCCATGCTGCCGCCCCTACATTCCAGACTTCTCACACACTGCCAAGCCACTATACCAGCTGCTATCGAAAAAATCAGCTCCAGAAACTAACTACACCTCCACTCTGGATAGCTAGAGTTTCTAGCAATGTATTATGCACCTTCTTTCACAGTGTATATGGATAACAATCTGTTAACCTATGTCCTGACTACAGGGAAGCTAAATGCTACAACACACCAGTGGGCTGCTGAACTAGCCTACTTGAACTTCTCAATCAAGAATCGGCCAGAAAGGGCTAATGGGGATGCTGATGGCTTATCACGGATGCCTCTAGACATGAAGCAGAACGTGCGCACATGCTCGCAGGAAATGAAACCAGAGGTAATCACACCTGCTACACAGGTGGTCCAGCTGAAATCCCATGAACATGGGCCCTGGATGTGTCCATCTACCATAACCACAGCATGTGCTGATGTAGAGCATGAAGGAGTAATGGCCCCAGTGACACAGATCTCTAAAGAGACACTAACGGTGCGTTCACACCAAACGCGATAGACGCGACCAGAGCATAAGGTTTACATATGTTAGGGAGTTTTTATTGTTTTATTTGCTTATGCTTCAAAAGTTATGTTACACATATTTCACCAGACACAGTTTTCTGTTGAAACAGATCAGTACAGAAATACACATCCGCAGAAGTTGACTCGCAGTATATTATTCTTAGAAATTGACTTGCAACACACATACTTTGTGACACACACACACACAGCTTACACACAGACAGCATCAGGACTTGCGTAACAGGAAATGTGATTATATTTGCATATTGACGATGTAACCTATAAAAATAAACGAATACTGCAGTTCGTGGTGATTGCTCTCTGAGTAGTTCACCTGTGCACGTAGCTCTGTGAAAGAAACTCTTTTGACTGACTTGTATATAGACTAGTCTTGTGTGGACTTAGAAAAGTCAAAATTTCCTGTGTGGATTTAAAATAGGTTAGTCCTGTGTGGACTCAAGACAGAATTTCCTGTGTGGAAAAAGCTCACCTATAACTCGAGATTGTGTGTCCTGTGTGGACCCATCTCATGAATAAATAGGTTAGAGGAGTTACCTTTCCAAGAGAAAGGTAAAACAAAGAGTGTGTCTAATAAAATAGTTTATCGAAAGCGCGAAATAATTGTGTTAAATAGGAGTAAGTGCATCATTGAATAGAAACTCTAGGTTTCTGCACTACTCCTAATTGTTTGTTTCCTGTGAGCACCCATTGGTGAGAAAGAGGGAAGGTTGCGCTTCAACGCATAAAATTGGGGCCGCCCTGAGTTTAGCTCAGGGTAGAAGGCTGCCCTAATCACCTCCTCTGACTCTAGTACCAAGAAGTCTCATTAATAAAATAAAAGCATGGGGAACAAACCCACAAAACCTGAACTAACGGTAGAGGAGAGTAAAAGGCGCGAGGAAAAAAGAAAAGAAAAGCAGAACAAACAGGCTAAGAAGCCACCCGCTGAAACCGCTAGCCCTCCTCCCTACCAGCTACCGCCCACGGCCCCGATTGCTTCCGAACCAGAGCAGCCAGGCCCCTCAGCGCCGTGCTCAATGGAGGAGCGCGATGAAGCGCGACTGGGGGTCCCGTGAAACTTCAGAAGCAGGTTTGCGTCACGAAAACGCTTTTCTGCCTGATTCGCGCAAGCAAGTAGCGCGAATGACGTTTGAAGCACGAAGTAAAATACGCACTGCAGTTTGTGTGGTGCATTTTGTGCATTCGCGCGTATCGCGTCTACCACTCGAGTTGGAAAATCTGAACTCCAGCTTCGAGTCATGCCACGACAACCAATCAGGAGCCTGGTGACGTAATGCTCTGGCCTAGTTCAAAGGGGCAGGTCCAGCCAAGCCATTCATACTTCATTCAATATGGAGGAGAGGCTAATCAAAGCACTAGCAAACCACCCGGAGCTGTACGACACCAGCTGCTTTCTGTACCGAGACAGGAATAAAAAGGACCGAGCTTGGAAGAAGATATCTGAAGAGATCGGGCAACCTGGTAAGTTCATTCAATTCTCTTTTGAAATTTTTGACTGACCCGGGGAAGCCGTGCAAAAGCTAGCAAGCCTGCCTACTGTCCCGCTATTTTCCCACTGATGTACAAATACCTTTCCGCTAACAAGATAATGTGTTTATTCAGAGGACATCTGCCGGAGAAAGTGAAAGAGCCTCAGGGACACATACTCAAAGGAGAACAGGATGGAGAAGGAGAAGAGGAGTGGGTCTGCAGCAGGATCGGGGAGGAGATGGAAGTTCTTTGCGGTCACGGGGTTCCTAGACCCCTTCCTCACCCCGCGGGAGACTAGCGGCAATATGGTGCGGACCGTAGAGAACATCACTCCCGAGGACCAGAGACAGCCCGAAGAGGCAGCAGGGGAGTCCCAGTCAGAAGCAGTGTTGGGTAAGTTACTTTAAAATAGTAACGTAGTTACATTACTAGTTACTTCTCTCAAAAGTAACTCAGTTACTTCAAGTTACTTGTTACTTTCAAAGTAACTAGTTAC